CTTCTGAAAAATAGTTGTTCCCATGCCTTGCCTTTGCTAAGAAATGCTTCAGGCAAGAGCGACACTTAGAGGTGGGAAGAGAAGAAACACTTGCTGTTCAGCATTCCTGTATCCCCATGTTCCTGTATCCCCCATGTTCCTGTGGATGATGAGCCAAACGTATGGTGGGTGCCCCCATTTGGATGACCCCCTCTCCCAGGGTCACTTTAAAACGGGGCTTATCGAGTCTAGCGCCACATCCTGTYGCTGACACCTCCTTCTTGCTCAGGAAATCAGGTTTTTGACAACATCTGTTTTCCCCGTTATTCTCCCTCAAGGGAAATCTAGCCTCTCACCACAGGCCAGCTCCAGATTTCTCAGCGGGCTCCCAAGCTGTCTCACACTCTTGAGCCCAAGATGTTATCCGGCATTTCCTTCCAGGATGAAATTCCTCATTTTGGCCTCTTTTCTTAGCTCTTCAACCTGGAAGCCCCTGGAGAGTCACTAAASCTAAATCCATCCTTGATGTCCTCTCACTCTTTACAACAAAACAAAAGGACAATTTCTCTCAGGTGTCCCAAATAACCCTGGGGAGCTGCAAACACCACAGCCCAGCTCCTAACCTTGAAGGTTTTCTTTTCCTCCAGATGTGAGGGCTAAGCCTACCTCCAGGTAAGGCCCAGCTGCAGCAACTTGAAGCTTAAACTCTCCCTTCAAAACAATATATAGGGCAGAAATAATCACTTTGACTGAAGGGAAACAAAATGTCCCAAAGGTTCCCGGTCTCCCGCTGAAGCTTCATCACCTTTAGAAACTGTTGGGTGAACAGTAAGATACTGGACATGGAGATAAATAGCAGGACTGTAAAAACAGTTAGACAGCTGCACCAGGAACATGTGGGGGAATTCTCATANCTAAAAAGTCTTTTTAAATTATTTGTATCTTTAAAACAAAAATTGAAATAAGATAAAGCTCAGAAATAAGATAAAGCTCATTATGGGGAACTTTAAAGTACCTAAATAGGGTTTCCATTTCACTTGCACTACCTTTTTTCTCACCATCCAAGTTTTTTCGGTTCAAGTATTTTTAAAAAAAAAAAACAAAAAAAAGAAGACAACAAAAACTCAAAATAGGGGTGAAATGTCAAGGAAAATTACTTTTCCCAACACAACTTTATAAAATAACAAAGGTTGATTACCATATACAATGAAAAAAAATCTGCTTTTTCTCTGAAGGTAGCCTTAAAACAGTCTCACTACAACTGCATGAAGTTATGTTAGAAGGATGTTTTTACGTCTTATTCGAAGAATTCTAGGAGAGAAAACAGAGAGAGTAAACCACTGACCATCAGCTTATATATCCCTACTACTACCTTCACAAAGAAAAGTAATCCATATCTTTCTTTCTACATTAATCCTTAGAACTCATTATTTTGGGTGCATATTCTAATTTCCTCCACTGGAAACATTTATCTCTCCTCTGCCTGCTGCAAGGACAAAGGTAAGCAAAGGCGAGGTCAAAGCACATGAAAACAGCAGTGAAGCCTATCTCCTATCACACAGGACCCATCCAACAAGAGACATTTTCCTGCAGGTTGCGTGTTTCCGTGCGAACTGCAGTGTGCACCACTGCAGATTCTCCACAGGTTTTCCAAAGGGAGCTGCCAGATCCCTTTGCACAGTGAACTGTGGACATCTAGCTACGTTCTCTTGATATAAAAGCTTTTGAGACATATTGACCAACTTTAGTTATTTATTAGTGTTTCTGAAGCAGCTCTTTGCAATTCCTGAGAACCTGGCAATTTTGAAAATGAAATTGCATGTAGGGATCTCTTCTGCTCTTGCCCTTATAAACTAACTTTCTCATAAATAACGTATTTAAAATCCTTTTTTTCTTGGTCAATTTGACAGAGGTGGTTASGCTGTACTATTAATTTCAGCTCACAGCTGAGAGGCTTGGATTTCCCAGACTAAACTGACAGCATCAGAAAGGCTGAAGTACTTTTTCTTACCTCCCTCCACTTCTCCTTTTTAAGAGCCTTGCTGGAACAGCCTATTAATTTCACTCTCAGAAATTTGCTTGGCAGAGGCTCTGATTTCTTAGACATCAGCAGAGGGCTGTATGAGCTACACAAACAAACTCATATCGGCCACCATCTCATCCGTGTCCTCCCTCCCGTGACCAAGGTGCTTTAAAGCTGTCTCCTGCACGCACTCCTGTTCTCTAGCGGGGTGCCTGGTAGAAGAAGCTGGAGGGGCCCTTTGGCTCTTTGCTACCCGTGAAATCGYTTCTCCGGGCTGGAAAAGCAAACAGAGCTGGAGCTGAGAGGAAGTAAGGGAGGGAAACTGTCTGCAGAGAGTGGGCACACTGCCTACCCAATATGTGCTTTTATATCTATCTTCAGGAAGCTCACTGGGGTGTTAACACTGCTGCTGAGCACAGAAAATACTCGAGAGTTGGGGCAGGCTGCCAGGGTGCAAAGAGCAATGCACAAAAAAAGTAAAAATCACTCTCTTCACTTACCTGGCTATGTAAAATAGGGAATCCTAAATCCCCACCCTTCCTTGCTTGCTTGGCATCTGCATGTTTTCATTCATTCCTTTCAGTGCAAAGAAGATCACAATAACATCCAAAGAAGAACACAAGTTACAGCTGTACCACCCTGGTATTCTTGTTCTTGCACTGTTCTGGCTAAATTGAGAGAACACAAACCTGTGACTGCATCTTCATCATCGTCATCACCATCATCATCTCAGGGAGCCCCAACACGTTCACTTTGTAACCCACAAAAGAAAGAGATTGAGAGGTTAAACTGAGCAGAGCATTGCACATGGTTTGATGCAAGGTCTGTTGTGGAAAATTGCACAAAAGTACTCCGTGAAATTCTCCTTCCCTCAACAACAAGATTTTTGCCAAAAATTAATCCTTAATAAAAGCGTGATATTACTATTCCTCTTCCATCTGTACACATTTTAATTCCTCTAGAAGTAGTCCTACAAACTGGAAATGCAACGACAGAACACCATGCAGCCAGCAACACAGTGCAAAATGTAAAACACAAATGGTTCCATTTACCTCTGAAGATTTTGTTAAAAATAAGGAATGCCTTTACTGAACCATCAGAGGAAACTAATCTTGAATGCCTTTYACTGGGGAAAATCTGGATAATGTAAGAAATTAAGCACTTAGCAGAAAACAAGCTTAGAGGAGTAGTATGACAGTCCAAATCAAATATGAATAGGTTAAGATACATAACTGATATGTTTTCAGAGTGCGGAAAACTGTTGGGGTGACAGAGCAGTRGAACAGGCTGCTCAGAGACAATGGGGAGTCTCCTTCTTTGGAGGTCTTCAAAACTGGCCTCAATGCCGCCTTGTGCCACATGCTGTAGGTGTGCCTGCTTGAGCAGGAAGGTTGGACTAGATGATCTGTAGAGGTCCCTTCCAACCTTGAATATTCTGTGATTCTGTGAAAACAACTTAACTAGCAGTAACAGCAGTAATATATTAGCTCCTTTTTATTGCCTTTTCAGATAAAAAAAGAAGATTTTTAAACACTGTGACAGGAGTTCAGCAGGGAAATACTGCAGATGAAAAGTGTATACTACTTATTTTTCTACAGAAATATAAACACAACTATTTTAGATTTTGAGACCATTTAAGGAAAAAATGCTCCCTGAGGTATTAGGCTTTCCTGGCACATAACACTGAATGGATAGTGACTATTAAGAGAATGTCTTCAGAGTCCTTCCGATCTTTTGTTTCCCTGGCGATTTTATATCTCTATTAGTAAGTACTTACAACTTTGAAGCCAGCTTCTGCCTGACTTAATGGAGAAAACCGGAATATGAAGATAGAACAACTTGGAATAAAGTAACTTTTGAGGAGAATATACTAGAAGTTTAGTATACTGTATTTTAATATATAATATTTTAAAAGACAATAATAAAGTATCAAGATAAAAATATTAAAGTAGGCAAGCTTCTCTCTCATAAGCTAGGCATGAAAAAAATTAAAATGAGTATCCAGAAAGTGGGTTCCCCTCCCTCTCTTCCCTTTTTGTATATAAATACCCTGGAACACTTATACCTTACAACACCTCACAAACATCAACAAACTCAAACCTCACAAATATATATCTTTTCTTCCCCTTTCTTTAGGTGTGGTACTTTGCACCCTCCAGTTTAGAACTGAGACATTTCCACCGGTGGCAAATTATGGAGAAAATTGCAGTGCAAAACTGAATTACATTGTGAACTGAATAGTTCTACAGATAAGGTATCTGCATGGCTGCAACTAGCAGCTGTTATTTGTGGAGTTCGTGTTATTTTATGCCCAGATCACTTCTGTAGATTCCAATTTTCTTTTTTTCCTGATAGCCCTTGAGGATCTTTCCACATTTGTCTCCTTTCCTTCTACAGGATGTCAGTGACTGCAGAGCAGAAATTCATCCTCTGCCAACAATGAAAGCCTTACTTCACTATAGCACRCTGGGAACAATTTAGTCCCACCACAGAGGCACGAGGCAAACACAACAGCTATAGCAAAATGGGTTGGAAAAGTTCCAGAAGCTGGGGCTGCATAATTGTACATTTACTGCCTATCTTTCAAAAATGTATTGTTATTTATATTTGAGTTAGAGAGAAATACAAGTTCTGCTCAAGAAGAAAATGAGGTAAAGTGGCTCAGAAAAACATATTCAGAAGGACAAGGAAGGGCAAAACCAGAGGATTTTAAAGGGAGACAGGAGATAAGAGATTGTGCTGCCACTGATTTTGTGGAAACCAATGGCTGAGAAAGGTCCCAAGCTTTGCACTTACTACAAAAACATACTTATCTACATGTACTTCTGCTTTTGAGCCACAATCTTGAATCCAAAATATTTTAGGTTCTCAACTCCTTTATGGCTGGTCAAATGTTAAAGCTTTTTTTTTTTTTTTTTTTTTGGCCTTTTTTTTTTTTTTTTTTTCTCTAAATAAAAAAGAAAGAGTCAAGTCGACAAACTGGTTTGATTTCGCCTTATGCAATTTAAATTTTATAGTGCACACAGTTCTAACCTGGCTATAAGTCTAAGAGGAAAAAGCAGTTCAGAGTTTCCTCCTGCATGCAAGAGCAATGACAGATGACTGGTATCTAGATAAATGAGAATATATGGGGATATCAGCAACTAACATCTCCTTAGGCATTTTTTCTTGGATGCTTTTTCTGTCTTCTCCATGGCAAAGTCTTTCCCGGTGTTCCAAAAACAGACTGTCTTCCAGAGCTCCAGCATATATTCCAGCAAGTTCTGCATTCTGAATAGAAGAAATTCCATCAGTTAAACTCTGATTAAAAAGATGATTAAAAAATTGTCTAGTGGTAACTAAACAGTAAAGACAAAATAATAACTGTAAGAAAACTGTCCTACTGCTTGCCAAAGAAAAAAAATGAGAGTAAATACAAGTTTAAGAGATTTTTTTTAAAAAAAAAGGCATTTAGACAAAAAAAAACCTTTGACCATACCTGTCAAAAGATCCTGCATTTTTATATATATAAATATATGCAAATGTATGTCCTGTACTTAAAAAGTACAGATCCTGCAATTGCACATACAACCCTAATTCCTTTACAGAAACAGGAATTCAGCATCAGCTTACCTGTATACTTTTTGAAGCATGCACATCTAACGTTCATAAACATGTATGTAGGCATACAATCTGTGTCTATTTAAATTAAACAAATGGATTTTACGTCTGTGCTTTGCATATCTAGGTTAATTGTAGTAATTAGTAATTATGCAAAACTACACAATGTTGGGATCACTTTATTCAAGGCAATAGCAACTGAAAYCACATGCTTATAAGAATACTGACAGAATTTTGGCCTCAGGTAAAGAAAGGAATCAAACCACAGATGTTGGACACTGTTTAATTCATTTATTTACAAAGAATCCTCTTCTAAATGGGAGCTAACATAAGTGTTTTTTAAACAAGAGTGCATTTTTTCCTGTTCTAATGGCAGAAAATTGTTATTGTTGAAAAAAGTTTCTAGTATAAAACCAACTTACACCTTGAAGGAATTGCCTTGAAAACACAATTACCTATTTAGTGTTCCCTTATGTGACTTCAGATGCTCATTTTTACTAGTCATAGGTGCTTAAACCTAGATGTTGCTTTATTTATTTATTTAGAACATCTCTGTTGCATATAAGGAAGTCAGAACACTCTAAATGTGTCCTTTATGCAAACTGAGAAACATTGTTCATTGAGCATTTCCCAGGGCTGGTAGGTCATGGATGAGATAGAATGCAGTTAATCCAAAGTACCAGGAGGCCACAGTTCCCACAACAGTTCCTATCACAAACAACATGTTGACCGGCTGCCTACAGAATCCGAGTGAGCCCTAGGAAATTGCCAGAACTGCTTCTCTCTGCCACCTTACAGAATCCCTCAACCGAGCTACGATGCAAATGTTCTTGGACTGGCTATTTTCAGAATCCCTGAAGGACTAGAGCAGTTCAGATCCAGGCCTGCAYGTTTAAACTGTTCCTGGCAAAGAGAATTCAGGAGTATAAATACCAAATAATAATCTGACACATGCTAAAAAGAAACACACACTTTCCATTCCTCCACCTATTTTCCCATATCAGATTTCATGTTTTCCTCAATCTCCATAACTCTGGCTTTACCAGTTACGACTCCTACGCCCACAACTGAGAAATCCCATCTTCACTATATTGCTCAAATGGCTAACGTTTCTGCCCAGTTTTTCTTTACTCCCTCCTTTCACCTTTATTGCAAGGCATCCCCTAGAACTTCCGAATACKTTAGTATTTATAAACATTGCACTTAACACTGTATTTCGCAAAAGGAGAAGGAAAAGTTGCACTGTTTTCAGCTCTTCCATTATCTCCCTTCATTCCACAATCCAGTAYTACACACTTGCTCTTTAATAATTTTACTCTTCAATCAACAAAATACACAGAAAGACAGGATTAAGAGAGTAAATGCTAACACAACAGACAAAGGAAGGTAATTTAAGAGCTGCTGAGAAGTATTTTATTTTGGCCTTCTTCTTTAGAAGTAACAGTGAAGAGAGATTTAGATGTGTTTCAGATAGCAGGAGCTTCAGGACAGAAATGTCCTGTCAACAGCATCAAAAATGGTTGAGGTCGGAAGGGACCTCTGGAGATCATCTAGTCCAACCCCCTGCTCCAGCAGGGACACCCAGAGCACGGGGCACAGGGCGGCATCCAGGTGGGTCTCCAGTAACTCCAAGGAAAGCTAATAACATCGTATTACCCATAATGGGTGTGATGTGGAGGTGGGTGTGGTGGGAATGACGCGGTGGGGTGGTCAAAGGTGGCCACAGGATGGGGCTGTGCTGGAGGACAGCGGAGGGGAGGCCAGGGAGGTTAGTGCAGAGGCTGCAGGGCAGGGCGGTGTAGGGGAGGGTGCAGGGAAGGGCAGGTGGAGCAGAGGGGGGAAGGGGGCAGGGTAGAGAGGACCAAGGGCAGAAGTAGGGGCTGGAGGGGAGCAGAGTGGAGGGACGAGGCAGGGGACAGAGTGGACATGGAGCCTAGGGCAGAGGGGAGCATGGAGGAAGGGGCTTGGGTAGGTAGGCTAGGATAGGGTTGGGTTAGGGCAGGATTAGGGTAGCTTTGGGCTACGGTTAGATTAGGGCAGGAGGGCTTAGGGTAGACAGAATTATAGAGGGTGTCCAAGCTGCCAAAAGTCCTTGGAAAGAGTGGAAAACACCCTGTGTTGCGTGTTACGATCCTGTGATTTAYGGACTTTTCCTCTATGCTTCTCTTGGTGACCTATTTCTTTCAAACAGCTGCTCAGCACCAGAGCGGGTATCTTGCCTGGAGGTCCAGACAGAAAAACACAACATGTGTCTGGCATCATTCCTGGAACTAAACTCCAAACTAGATACGGCAGATACCCCCTTGAAGAATAAGACAACTCTTAAGCTGCTCATAGCAGGAAAACACTTCCTGGTTTCCCTACCTTTAAAATCAACTTCCTGTTCTTCATATCTTGTTTCCAAGGCATCACATAACGCTCTGGGATCATTCCATTCTTGCTTGAGAATTTTGGCAAATGGCAGTTAGCAAGCCTGGGAGACACAGCAACACTTTAATGATGTAATCTATTAAAATTTCAGAAGAAAACTAGTTACCATACAAGAATCAAATAGACTCTTCACAATTGTAAAAGGGGAAGAAAATCTTTTAATATTGTGACTGTAAACTAATAATCCTTAATGACCCACTGTAAAATTGAATCATATATATAAAATAACACTCAATTTCCCTAGGATACTAAAAAGCATTTTCTTATCTGAATTTAGGTTATAAGGAAGAAAAACAAGATTGCTCACAAACAAGCCTTGTACTTCCAAAATAAAGCATACTTCTGTCATTTTCGGCACCTGCTTCGGGCACATTACAGCTGGTTTTGCACACTCTTACAGCTTAAGAGATACAAAGCAGTATCTGACCCAGCATTAGAGTCTGCACTTGTAGTAATTCTGATGCTTTAGTCATGTCTACTCACCAGATAAAACCTTTAGGAACAAGAATACTTTTGATAACATTTTAGTCTGTAAAATATCAACTAATAAAGCCCAACAGCCAGGACTATGGGTTCCCAGGGAGACCGCAGCCCACACAATCCAGTCTGCTCAAAAGCCAGGGACAAGGAATGCTGTGTGGCAGCCATCTCTTAGTACTTGGCCAATCCAGCAAACGTGGGAGTTGACAGTAAAATCTCTACCCTTACTTGCTGCTTATTCCTGGGTAGTTTTGGGGAAGAAAACAGGGAAATAAGGAAAACCGATGACCATCAATGTGACTCTATCACCACCTTCCAGGAAGCTTGGGCGGGCGCAGCCCAGAGAATCCCAGCTACATCAATAGAGGAACACGGGAGGCCAGGCTCTCCCCCTCACCCTTGCCCGTCTGCATTGGTCCCCTTGGGAGCCGAGGCGGCAGCAGCACCAGGCTCCATGGCCCTGGGCTCTCCCGCTCTGTGATCCGGGCGCTGCCGGGCTGACAGTGCCGCGTTCCAGCACGGCAACGGGAAGCCCCGGGAACGGCGCTCAGGGAGCCTCCCCCGGCGACTGCACCAGCAAGCTCGGAACAGTAACATGACTGCATGTTACACAACAAGGGGAACACGTGCTCCACAACAAGGGGAACACCTTGTGTAACACRTGCTCCTTCAGTTTCAAAAATGTGTCCTTTTGAAAAGACAACATTGAAAGTAAATAAATACAAACAAAAACAGAAAAAAAAAAAGAAAGAAAATACTTAAAATAGTCAAAAGTCATTTAGTCAGACACTGGAAGGTAGCGCTCAGTATCACCCTCTTTCTGTGAGAGAAGGAATTTATACACTGTTCCAGCAACCTTTACTTAGGAAATCCAAAACAAACAAAACCCCACTAATTACAAGAATCTTCTCCATTGGCAACAAATTATCCAATTATGCAACAATAAAAAAGTAATGAAACAACTATGAAARTTTGCTGACAATATCTAGGGAGAAGAAAAAAACAAAATTATCCAGGAAATCCCAGATCAGCAGCTGATGACAGAGTCCCAAACTAACCAAACTGTGTAAAAAAAGTCTCAGAATCAGTTTAGCACATTGACCAGCATAGCTGTGCTAGGAAAGACAACAAACACATCAAAACCTTTTGCTACTTTTGTGGCAAGAAGTACTGTACCAGGAACCAACCATGCTTCATAGCTGATGAACAATTTCTTCCTAACAGGGAATTCACGTACCACCATAAAGATGCAGAAAGGTCAAAACTCTCAAGTAAACTGAATTTAAAACCATATAATGGAATATTCTCTAAGTTTAATAGCTCTTTTTCYAAATGCTTTAGTAAACACCAGCTGTTCAAAGTACTGAACTATTCAATACTGCAATTACATTAAGTTTCTGGTAACATGCTTCTCTTGTGAAACCCAACGACTCTCAGGTGAGCAAAATTTACGTGCAAAAGTTTGTTGTCAGGTTTTAAAGTGAGTTAATATTTCAGAAATATTTTATAATGAAAACATAAAATTCACATAAAACACAACTTATTAGGGACAACAAGTTTTAGACATCATACATGTTATCAATGTCTCACATACTCTTCTGTTATGTTCCCAAACAATGTGGAACGTAAAAGTTATSTTCAAAACCTAAAAACTAGTCAACTTTATCAAGTAGAAATCATCTCTCTTGCATACTGTTGTTTTATAAGAGTCAAAATTAATAAAAACTTCAGAATTTCTCTGAGTTTCACACTTTTACCACACAGATAAGAGAGAAGCATGGGGACAGGAATTGCAAGGTTAAGGATTTATGTCTGTCTATGAAGTCTTGAGCAAACACAGTTCTTCAGGGGAATGCAAATTTATGTAGACCATACTGAAGCATGGGCTAATGGCTCAGAAACTGAGTTCCACTGTAATTGACTCAAAACAAAAAGATCTGTTTAAGTTGCGTGCATTATGGAAAAAGCTTAAACACAGGAGGTAGAAAGATCAAACAATTGTTACAATATGAAAGATTAAAACCTGCAGTAGTGGTTTACAACATGYGTTGCTCAATAGTGCTCGTTTGCAGGCTTGTTACTCAAAAATCATTCACTCTTAAAATTTAGTTTGTTTCAGAAACCTATCTGCTTTTATAAATCTTAATATCACAGACACTATTATTGTCAATACATTGCTACATCAAGAACACAGGATCTTCTATGTCAAAACTTAACCAGAGTAAGTTTCTACTCAATTTTAATTCAGAGCAGCCTTGGCTATTATTTTTTATGACTGTTAGTTTCAACAGATGAAAATGGTGTATTCAATTAGAAGAATGCCTTAATTCTGAAACTTAACGTGGCTTTGAAATTTCCTAAAAATTTCCAAAAACACCAGGAAGTAGACCTGTTATCTAGAAAACCTTAACARTTTTTGAGACTACAGCAAACAAAACAGGAAAAATAATAACCCTCACGCTGTTAAACTTAGTGAAGGATTATATAGTTTTTTTAACATTGAGTATTTTCCATATTTCTGCAACTTATGAAAACAGGAAGTCATGAAATTATAATAAAAGCTTGATTTAATATATTTTACAGAGATTTTGTTATCAAGTACACTGAGAGCTAAAAGATTTCCAAATCGTGAGGGTTATCAATCTCAATAACATCTTCTGATTCCATCTTTGCTTCATGATGTCCTTCCTGTAAATCATCCAGAGAAGCCAGAGCCTCATTTGTGTCACTAGCAAAAGTCTCTCGAGATGCATCATCATATTCTTGCAGGTTAAGCCCTTTAATAGCTTTTTTCATCTTCTTTCCTAGAACTTGCATTCTCCTCTTCTTAGCAGCCTTCTTGTTTTCATACTCCTTTTGGTTTTCCAAGTAGAAGATTTCCTTGAGGAAAGAAAAGATTGGCATATTTAGTTTTGTAGTATTTGCTAAATAAAACACAAATATGTGAAAAAATCTCTCCAGATATTTAATTAAGTAAATATGTGTAAGCCAAAGTAAAAATGTTTATTACAAGTAACAGTACTTAATATTTAACTAATAATATTTTACAAAGATATATTATTTGAAGATATATTACACTTAAGTTTGATTATGGACTGCGTTTAAGGAAAATGTCACATTAATATTTGTACAGCTACACAATTCCTCAATGACTTCAAACTATCACACAACTGCTAACCTTCGTTTTCAAGAAATGTTTTTTTTATTCCACTTTGCCAAAGAATTTTTGTGGGAGGTGGACTATAGAGAAAATAGGTCCAAAAGGTTCTATCACATCTTGAACAAACTTTTCTCCAAAGCTGAAATTTGAGACCAAGTTTCACTATATTTGCTCTCAAAAATGTAAACATTGTTTTCTCTACTGTGAAGTATAACTTACAATTTTCATCTGCATTTTAAAGCAGCAGATCATTCAGCAGAACTAAGTGTTGCTACATTTTTTTTCTGACTTAGCTTATTTAAAAACTGCATATGGAAAACATGAATGCTTTTCTTTCTCCATCACCAAAAGCTAGAACACTAAGGAAATGTAAATCTGGAAGATAGTTGTGCACTTGACAACTTCTATAACGACAGGAGTGTATGTGCTTTTTTTTTTTGCTTTTCTGTTTTTGTTATTCGGCAGAGCAACTAACGATATATAAAACATGTTCTCTTTGTGCACTAAGAATAGTAATCTGCCAAGTGAATTTTTGCTCATATTTTTTAAAAATGAAAAGTTGGTTTATTTGAAATAAACTTGCTTCAAAACACATCGTTAAACTTTCCAAGAGTTACAAAAGGATTCAATCAAAACATTTCTAATTAGAATAAAAGATTTGCTTTAGACAACCACTTATATTCTGACAATTTTACCTTGATTTGTTGTTCTTTGATGCTAGGTGTGTTCTTCAGCAGATTTAAATACACTCCCCCTGGTGTTCTTCTTCTAGTACCATTCTTTCATAAGGGAAAGTGTAAATTAGTATATTAAAGCAAGCTTAAAATGTGTCGATATAAAGAAATGCTTCATATTGAGTCAGAATCCAGAAATCTAAGCTGTTTTGTAAGGTATGACATAGTAAGTCTGACTAGTTATTGTTTGTGACTAATCTAGTTATAAAAAAGGTGAACAGCCAGCTCTCTACATTTGGATGGGGAATATAAAGATACCAAATAATTTAGGATACTAAACCAGACTGATGACCTAACAGACAATCATGCCATCAGACTTTCTATTTACTCATTTCTTTGGGGGAGGAGGAGAGAGAAAATCGGTTGGTTTTGCTTTAAGAACTGTTCAGTTACATCTTAAATCTGATTTTGTAGTGAAGGAACAAAAGACTAACAGCATTCTAACTACGCTCACAGCTACCTGCAGGAATGTAAACTTTAAAATGGATATTCATATTATTCTTAACTTACAAGCTCAATAAAATATCAAAAAAAGTTTCACAAAATCATATGAAATTTAATTTTGTGATATTACATCTAACAATTCTAAAATTTATCTGCGCGCCTGCAGGAATTTGCTTTTCTGTTGGAGATATTACATACCATACGTACTTTGAAGTATGCAAAGCCTTCTCCCATAGGACAGTAGTTCCATGCTTTGAACGTATTCAGCATAACATGAGTAGTATAATGCATCATAGCCAAGCATGAATGGACCCTGCCATCTCCAAAAGCTCATTTACCATGCAATTACCATTTACAATGCATAAATGTTGCATAAAATTGAATTGTCTGTTACGTTAGTACCCTGATATTGTATTAAAGATCTCAAAACAGGCAAATTCAATTTTAAAGCTTGAAATCAGACCCTGAATTCTTTCATTATCCTAGCAAATTTCCAACCAACAGAAACAGTGTACTTTGTTCACCTTTCAAACACTCTATTACAATTTCCAGCCTAGAAATTCATCACCATGAATTTTATTTTTTTTATCTTCCTACTAAATACTTGCTGATCAATGATTTAGTATTATACTTCAATAGTACTGTTGCATTTAAGAGAAAAAATAGTTCTTTGAAGATATTAAAAATGCATATACAAGTGCATGAAAGTACTTATTGATTCTTCTCACTTTTAATTACTCTTGAGTTAAAACTTATCATTTAAGAAAAAATATATGCAGAACCAGTTAAATATAGGATTTTTATTACAATTTGTAATAGAAAACAGTACTCACTTTACAGATATACAACATTAAATTTTATAGACAYTGGTCCAACATTAAGGCTTACAGATGCCCTCTTGAATGTTGCTTTTCAAATGTGACATTAGAAGTATATAGTAGTTTGTGGAGTTTTGATGGCATTCTGATTATTAGTCAATGTTTTCAAAAAATACACCTGGCTTACTGAAGCAATGTGGCCAGAYACTACATTTGGATCATAGAATTATAAGGTTTCATTCTTCAGAGGCTTGCACACTTAGTTTGAGAGAAACATCCCAGGAAATAAAAATGTTATCATTGGTATAAGCTATTGGTTTTAAGCCTCCAAACTTGGGCAATTCACACATTCATTCAACTCAGTTTACACAAACCCTGATATAAGATTACTTTAGCATTACTGTTAAAAWTTTTCACAGCTCAGAAAAGTGTCCTAAAAGAGCAGTGGTAAATGAATGCCTGGAATCCGGGAAACTCTGAATGTAACACAGTAGTATTACACAAAGTATTCTGCAAGTAGAAAAATCTTGTAAACACACAATATCACATTTTCTTACCACTATGAACAGTCCACCATTTTGTTCCACTTCAGCAGTTTCCATAAGCAATTCAATAGCCTTCCTTTTTCCAATTATTTTCACTACTCGGGCAATTAAATCTTTCTTTGGTTCACAAAGCCTTTCAGGGAGGGAGGGAAGGAGAAAAAAAGAGTGTATTTACAGTCAGTAGGACTTCTCAAGTAAAACCGACAACAGAACTTYAATAATGATTGGTTTGTCTTGTGGGCTAGAATGCATTTCTGTGTGCTTCAACYGGCTTCTTAAATCTACTTTCAGAATTGTAAACTTATAGGAGACATTAATACACACAGTATATATTTTTCAGTAAAGACTGAGTACTTTCTATCGATGTGTGAAAAATTAAACCAAATGACAAAGACCAATAAAAACCATTGAAAACATAGTATTACAATCTGTTGTGTACGATGAACTAACAACCCACAGGAGTTGTGAGCATGAAGGAAGAGAGGAAGACAGGTGGCAATAAACACAAGGTTTAGGCTAGGTACAGATGATTTGCATTTAATTAAAGTGACAGCAGTCTGCAGTAAATTAACAATTAACTGGAAGGAACAGTGAGCGTAACAGTGAGTTCAACATCTTGTGCAACATGCACGTATGTGTTACAATGATGAAATAATAACAAGCTCGCAGTCCACTCAAAAGCTATATTGTAATAACCAACTTTGCTTCAATTGTTTCTGTTGTATGGTTTAAGTACCATGAAATAAGACATTGAAAATCATTATTTTAATGACAAGTATTCTAGCCCTACAAAAGATTTATACTTTGTAATTTATCTTATCAAGCGCAGTGGATTACTAGGCACTGGAAGTTAAATGCTATCTCAAATACTCACARGAGTGAATTCCAAATTCTGAATTATTGGAAGAGAAGTAAACATTCAGTAGACAGCTTTAGCATAACTAAGATTCCTTAAAATTTCATTAAATTCTGCTAACTTTGGTTAGCAGTGCCAATTTAAATGGGCGCCTCTACCTAGAGTTCATTCTGCCTTGCACATAGCTCTCCTATACGCATCTTAACTCTAAGAAGCTGTACATCCCGAGAAGAACTGAGCAGCCAGAAAAGTTTCTTGATAACAGTTTACTACACAGTAAGTAAACTGTGGCCCAGGACAACCAGAGAATCATTCAGTCAGTGAATACAGAAACACAAAATGGCTGAGGTTGGAAGGGACCTCTAGAGCTCATCTAGTCCAATCCCTCTGCTCCAGCAGGGACACCCAGAGCACGGGGCACAGGCCGGTTTGAAGACCTACAGAGAAGAAGACTCCACAGCCTCCCTGGGCAACCTGTTCCAGGGCTGTCATCCTCACAGGAAAGAAGTTCTTCCTCACATGCAGATGGAACCTCATGTGTTTCAACTTGTATCCACTGCCCCTTGTCCTACCACTGGTCATCACAGAGAAGAGCCTGGCCCCATCCTTCCCTCAGGTATTTGTACATGTTGAAAAGATCCCCTCTCAACCTTCTCTTCTCCAGGGAAAACAGGCCCAGCTCACTCAGTCACTCCTCATATGAGAGATGTTCCATTCCCTTAATCATCTTAGTTGCTCTTCTCTGGACCCTCTCATGAAGCTCCACATCCCTCTTATACTGAGGAGCCCAGAACTGCCCCCAATACTCCACGTGCGGCCTCTCCAGAGCTGAGCAGAGGGGCAGGATCCCCTCCCTCCACCTGCTACCAACATCCTCCTGATGCAGCCAGGATCCCATGGGCCTTCTTGGCCATGTGGGCACTGCTGCCTCATTGGTAACTTGGTGTGAAMCTCCCAGGTCACTCCCTGSGGAGCTGCTCTCCAGCAGGTCAAGCCCTCATCTGCCTAGTGCCCGGGGTTATTCCTCCTCAGACGCAGGACTCTGCACTTGTTCCCTGTTGAATCTCAGGAGGTTCCTCTCTGGTCAGCTCTCCAGTCTGTCCAGGTCCCTCTGAACAGCAACACAGCCCTCCAGAGTGTCGGCCACTCCACCCAGCTTGGAATCGTCCACAAACTTGCTCAGGGTACCCTCGTCCAAGTCATTGATGAACAAGTTGAATAGCCCTGGGCCCAGTACTGACCCCTTGGAGACACCACTGGGCACAGACTTCCAACTGGACTTSGTCTCATATATCACCACCCTCTGAGCTCTGTCATCCAGCCAGTTCTCAATGGCCCTCACTGTGCACCTGCCCAGGCCACAGTGACACTACAGCACTGCCTAAGCAGCAGTGCTGTGTTTACTTAAACCTAGATCACATTAACAGAAAAAGGAGGCTTCTACACTCATCTTAAAKAAGTGCAACAGAACAAAGGGAAAGTTTGTTACAAGTGACAAGCTGYAAATTTTCAAGTTATTGAGAACAGCTAATGGCATTAATTGTTGGCTAACTACAGTATCAAAGCTGACTTCTACCAACACAAAGTTTCATACATTACACATTAACAATGTCTCCTAAACAAAAGGTGGGTTTGTTGACCAATCTAAAATTGTCGAGTTTTAAACTTGTGTTACCTATGTAACCCTAGTGTTGTCCCCTTACACGTATATGTTACGGGYAATTTACCTATTGGAAAAAGGATGGTCAGCTTAAGTTAGTCTAAATAAGAATGACTGCAGTCATTTGCCTCATCAGCACCAGTTCTGTGCTGCCACTGCCAGCTGAAGGGAACTGTGCAGCTAACTGGTTATGCAGAACAACTTCTATGAAAATAATCCCAAAAGGGTATGGACAGATCAAGTCCAGCCTGGCTCAGGTACTTCCTTTTAAACATATCTGTGCAGAAAAGTGGATGGTAACGAGTGTGTGAATGGTATTAGTTTTTAATAATGTCACCACAAGCTGTCCCAGAACTGCAGTATAGTTTCACAATACAGAAAAGAGAAAGTTTTACTTCAGTACTAGTGTCTAACCTTGGCACAGCCCCTACTTGCAGGAAGAACAAAAGGTGTCTTCAGATACCTATGTTTCATGTACATGAAGAATTTCTGATTTTGAGGATTTAAGGTCTCCAGATCTCCATGCAGTCCAAGTCGCCCATAACCACAATATCCACTTTTCCATGGACAACACAACAGGTGTCCAATATTGTCCACCTTCAAATCCACAATTTTGACCGTAGCTTTACCTAGCAAAGCCACTACTAACCTATGTCATGAAAATCAGTATTTTTGCTTGAGAGTGTTCTCATAGAAGCCAACCATTCCGGCAGATCTTTTCCAAGAAATATCAGAGTGTTTTAAATCTTCACATTTGAAATTCACAAACTTTATCACACCCACTGTTTCAGAACCAACTGAAAATGATATCAGAGATGTTAGACAGTATTACTAGAGGTGTTTTCAAGACACCAGCTGGGATACCAYGTTTGTGTCCCAGGGTTCTAGAAATATGCACATGGCATTCATGTCTTTCATAGTTTGGCACAACATGTAGCATTTAGCTGTAAGAAACAATTTTTTCCTCCCAGTGTTTAAGGAAGTGAAGAAATACTATGTTAAACTCACCGATAAGCAATTTCATCTGCCACTTTTTCCTCAGAATCTTCTTCTGTGATCTCGTATCTTCCTTTATAATTCATTTCTTGTCTTTCTCCTAGTCTATCTTTTACAGGCCGCTTTCGTTTGAGAAAACCATGTCCATTTTCTTCTTCTGCTGGCAATGTTTTCTTGTCATCATGCATGTATTCATCCAACTCTTTATCTAAAGTCTCTGCCTCCTTTTGCTGAGCTTCTCTCATTAGCTTTTTAGCCAATAAATAATTGTAAGTCTCAGACTGCCTGCTTCTGTCAATACTACCATCCATTCCTAGAATTCCAAGTTCAGTAGCCACAGCATCCTGACTCTGCTCCTGAAGCACCACTCCCCAGATATTGTTGACCTTCTTGCCACTTGGGAGGGTTTGCTTTTGCTGGTTCTGAGTAAACTGAAAAGGCTCAGATTTAGCCGGAGGAAGGTTGGAACACTTCTGACGTTTTCTTTTCCACAGACAACTATCATCATCAGATTCAGAAAAACTCTCATCACTTGAGTCCGCACTTTTGGTTGTCCGATACGGGACACTTGGTGGACAGGATGAAATGATGCTCTGGAAAGGTCTGACTGAATTACTTCCATCATGCAATTTCTGAAAAGGTAAATACCCGTTAATCCAACTACTCCAGTAAAAAAAAAAAAAGAAATATATATATATATATATAATTATCAAGTGATGTCAATATACATTGTTCTTGGGTTTTTTTTTTTTTTTAACATATAACTATAAGCTCACTATAGTTTGTTCTCAAGTCGGATGCAAGAAAAAGGTTTTAAAATACGTCTCATTGCTATAGGATTATTTAGGAAAGGCTATTCCCTGTATTTCTGACTGGTAGCCTAAAATAGCAAACGAAATCTCCTGAAAGCTGCCTCAACTGTCAAAGCATCATGGTTGAAATGACCCACAATTCTTACTCTCAATGCACAAAACTTTGAATCATGCTTCTGAACCAATCTACTGTAAGCACTTTTCTTACTAATAGTTCTAGTTCTCTCCACGATGACTTTCAATTGTAAAGTTATATACCACCTCATGATTTTTAAAATCACTCATCTTTTACTTCAGACTTGTGTTAAAAAGAAACCTGTATTTAACCCCTGCTGTTCTTTACCAGCATTATGACACCTTTTCCTTTTCTTTCCACTAGCAGGCAAGCCTTCAGGCTCCTTTTATCACATTATTAAATAAAAAAGTTAAAATGTGTTCCATCATACCAAAATTAAGCACACTTTCCACAACTCTACGAATTTTTAAAAATTGTGTATCTGTAATTTTTTAATGCTAGGCATCTCAGAACTATGTAACAACAGAAGCCACCAAAGAAGACGAAGATCCTTACATATACAGTCCCATTTATCATATTTTGAAGTCTCTCCTTGTATTACCATATATTCCTCATACAATCTTACAACACAACTTAACATGAGAACTTTAAAACACACTAGAAGACAAAACAGCATTTCATCAGGGACTAGCACATAGAGATGAGTTCCGCATTCAAGACAGAGCACTATGCTACTGCTAACTTCCATGTTTTCAAAGTGTTTTCTTCATCGTTTTTTTTTTTTTTTTCCTGAAACGACCAGCTACAACAGCCCCCTTTGTCCCCCAAATCCAAAGCCCAGCGGAACCCAAAGGCGCCCTCCCGCAGTGAACAGGCACCAGGCGGGCTTGCAGGCTCCCGGGCCCCGGGGCACGAGGCGGGCGCTTATCCCTCAGGAAACCGTTTCCGCGGCCGAGGCCCCGGCCGGGCCCCGCCTGCCGCAGGCGCCTCCCCGGCCCGGCCGCCCGCAGGGGRCTCCATGCCCGGCGCCTACCGCGCCGCGCCGCCCGGCGGAGGCACCGCGGCCTCGGCGGCTCCCGGGTGCCTGGCGCGGGGCGGGCCGCCGGGCAGGGCGCTCCCCGGAGCGGCAGCGGCGGGAGGGCCGGGCCGGCAGCGCAGCGAGCGCCTAAGCGGGACCAGGAGGAGGAAGATGGAGGCGGGGACGGGGCTGGGCTCTGGCTGGGAGCTGCGCAGCCGCTAGCCACAGCGCTGCGGCAACGAGGGGGGATTCGCAGCGGCGGGAGCCGTTAGAGCCTGGCGAGCCGTTATGGCCTGCGGAGCCGTTAGAGCCGTTGGTGTCGCTAGGCGCGCTGGAGCCATGGCCTCGCTTGGTGCCCGCCTCGCCGCGGCCTGCGCTCGCCCACCTGCTGCGGGTCCCCGGGAGAGCCGGCCCCCGCCATGTCGGAGTCGGAGCCGGAGAGCTCGCCGTCCTCCACGTCGCCCTCCATCCCCCGCGCCTCCTGCGCCATCTTCCCGCCGCGACGCCGGCGCGCGGCTCGCGGGCAGGGCGGGAGGGCGGCTCCGCGCACGCGCACCGCGCTCCGCCAATGGCGGGCCGGCGGCGGGGGCGCGGGGCACGTCGGGACGGCCGGCGGCGGGGGCGGGCGCCCTGAGGCGCGCCGCCATTTTGTGGGTGCCGGGGCGGCGCCATGATCSTGTCGCGAGGGCGTCGCGACAGCTGCCGGCACCCGTGCGCTGCTTGGGCGGCACGAAAGGCGACTACAAAATACAGATTCCGCGTTCATAGGCACTTTAATTGTCTATTAACAGACACTTAATGCTGGTGCAAACTGTTAAGTCGTGTTTTGTTTGTGTCATTTGCATATGCACAAGGAGGCAGAAATCCTGCAAGGGAAGTTGTGTTTATCAGGATTGGGCTTTTCCTTTAACCACGGCATAACTAAGCATCCACATAGTTATAGTAAACTCACCATGTTAGGTTAGGTTGTCACCAAAAATAAGAAGTTTCTTGATACCAATATAGTACTAAGAAGCAGCCATTCTGTTATGGCACCAGGTGCATGGGGGATAGCGTCTCCTAATATGCCATCGTGAAATTTATATATTTCTCTGTTAAGTACATAACACATTCAGGTTTTCTGCAACGATGATACAAATTTATTCTGATTCGTAGAACTAATTTCAGTATACCCCATCCTCACTCATGTACACCCACTGTCCTTTAAGAGGTTGCTGAGGGTCTTTKGAGACGGCTGGTGCTCATCTTTTGGGGCCCTTCTGAAGAACTCCCTTAACTCACTTCCATCTATGCCCTCATTTTGTTTCAGGGAGTCCTGTTTTGACCCCACTGCCCACTTTCAGAGTTACTTGAAGATTCCATGGCCCTTATCTTCCTCTTCAACTGGTCTTTGTTTTGTTTGTACTCCGTTGTGATTAACCAGCAGCAGCTGTGATTTTGTCCATGCTTTCTCCAGATGCATCAGCAACAGCAGCAAAAAATATGTCCTTGGGTGAATTCTTCTCTGAGGCTTCTCGTGGCACTGTGATCTCAGATCTTGTATCAGAAATGATGTTCCAAAGTTGAAGGCACCCAAGAAAAAGCATTTACTGCTTACAAGCTGCTCAGTTAAACACCACCCACATGCAAATTGCTTTGTCTCTGGCAGATTTCTGCCATTTCTATTTCCATTAATGGTCGACTTTGCTGTCAAACATTGGGGGTACCAGTGCTCAAGAATGGGATATACTACAGTAAGGAAGTGGTATGGAAACTCACGTCCGCGAGGAAGCTGGTGTACAACAGGACATGCTCTTGCTGAATGTCTGGAGCATCACTGGAATGGATTTTTTTTTTTTTTTTTTTTTTTGTATGAAGGCCTTGTTAAAAGTGATAATTTGAGCCACTGCTATACCCATTTAGCAGAAAAATGATCAGAGACCAGTATTATATTTTGCAGATTCTGAGCTCTGCTCCCAGTCATGGGTGTATCAAATCCAAATCAAGAGTGGTGCAAATTGTCRGACCAGTGTAAATGTGCTGCCAATGAGCTTAGCTAATTCTAACTTGTGTTTCTGCACTTTAGAATCCTTCCCACTGAAATTCATTTCAGAATTCAGACTTTTATATGAACAAGTAGAAGATTTTTTCTGTACCCCAAGTGGACACAGTAAAGCTTAGGTGGACACAATAATGGCATCTTGATGCACAAACTTTCTGTGTACAAGCTCCCCTGCTACTGCTCCTTCTTTGCATGTATGGTACAGAAGCACAGGATATATCTGCATTTCAGGCACTGGGCTGAGTTCATACTGCTGCTTCACATGTAGTTTTCTAGGCATACTTATTTAGATGTGGCCTTGGACACACGAGGAGAAGGCCCATGTTAAACTTTTATGCAGGTCTAATCACGTCTTTATATACATCTGTACTACTGTGGATGACTCAAAAATGGTTCTGACTGGCATGGCTTTGACCRGCAAATCCATCACATGGATTTGAGTCCAATGTGATGCATGCAAGTTGTCCCAGAAACTTTCCTCACAGAAATTTGGCACCACTTGTCACAGTGAGTCTAGACTGTTTGGATGAGCTGTAGCAAGATGGATGAATAGAGCCACGTAAGATGCAGTGCGAAGGTTTGGACTGGCTATCTGRCATGACCAGTGAGGCTGGAGGGACAAATTACTTACGGTGACAGAGAAGTCCATGCAGGAGCTAGGAACTGAAACCATGTTGTTCAGTGGCTCAGCTAGTGTGCTAAGCTTTTGACAGACCTACATTTTTTTTTGCTAGAATTCAATTTATTGGTTGGAGATATCTTGCAAATTTGTCACTGAGAGATACTATGTTGAGCATGCGTAGGCCTGATCTAGTACAGATAAACTGCACAAGGATTATGAAATACCTTAGAGATGCAACTTTCCAAGCCCTTCAGGCAGAATCAGCTATATTCTGTCAAGGAACTGCGTTGAGAATGTCAGTACTTAACACTGAGAGAAAACTTGTGTTTCTAGTGACAAAACTATATGCAGTAGCATACCTTTCTAGACACTTTTTTATTATCCCTTTGGGAGGTATCATGGTCAGACCTTGTGAGGGTCATGTTTCTGAAGTTTCAGTAGGTAGTTCAGTAGTTTTGCCTGAGTGTGTAAACATGTGAGCTTCTGATCTTCCTGGGGTTTATTGTGCCAGTGAACATAGGCAATGACAGTTATGACCAGAAAGGCCTCCTAATTAAATGGATCAGGTGCTCTTCAAAGTGCACCTTCTTCTCTGGGGTGGAAGATGGAGCTGCTGAAGTTTCCACGTTGCCAGATGCTGCATATTGTACAGGCAACTATAACCTGCTTGATACCTTCTAAGAGTAAGCTTTGAATTAGGATGAACAGGGGATAGAACAGGGGATAGAACAACTCAAGAGCTGCTTTCTACCTCTGTGTCCTTATATAGAAACAAGAGGAGGCTCAGAGGGGACCTTATTGCTCTCTGCAACTGCCTGAAAGGAGGATGTAGTGAAGTGAGAGTCAATCTGCACARTAACTATGGACAGGACAAGAGGACGTGGCCTCAATGTCCAGGTTAATGTTAGACGTTAGGCAGAATTTCTACATGGAAAGAGCAGTGAAGCCTTGGAACAGSCTGCCAGGGCAGTGGTGGAGTCACCATCCCTGGCAGTGCTCAAGAAACGTGTGGATGAGGCRCTTATGGGCATGGGTTAGCAGGCAGGGTGGTGGTGGGTTTATGGTGGATCTTGAATGTCTTGAAGGCCTATTCGCTGTAGTGAATCTATGATTTGATGACTAGGCTTGTTCTGCAGATAGGTGTAAGGTTTCATCATCTCGCTGAAGAAAATGTATTTACCTATCAGACATACTAATTTCTCCTTCAAGTTGCTCTTTCTTGAGATTCTTTATGTATTCCACCTGTGGTTAAATGAAATAATAATATATAATATAATAATAATAATATATAATTATACAATAACATAACATAACATAACATAATATTATTTTTATATATATCTACATATTACTCATACTCTTTTATATACATTATATTATTATTTTATAATAATATATTATAATATGTAATTATAATTATAATTATATGTAGTAGTAATAGCATTAATGCTCATTCCTAAAGTGGTTTACAAAGCAGGTCAGTATCTGCAGAGTGTGTATCCTGTGGAGTAGTGAGCTTAAGTTGATTTCCCAAGGCTGTGAAACACATCRGTGAGATATCAAGGAGCAGATCTGGGTTTTCTGAGTTTTCATCAAATGATCTGCTCACAGAAAATTATTTTCTCCCATGACTAGTCTGCCAGGCGAAGTCTTAATGCAGTGTCACCCTTRGTGACAGGGTTCCAGATTTTAAAATCTCCCTGCAAACCTTGCCAGGGTAACCATCACTAGTTTGATCATATCATCTAAAGATGCTTTTCATTTGACAAGATTACTCGAACAGCCTTTCTTAAAAGGCAAATCAATTATAGTTAACACTATTACTTGTAAGCAAAACTATGTATTTGTGGAAATCAARAGATAAATTACGGCAGTTAGTCATTGGCTTGAGATCTGTGGGACATTTTTTTCCACCTTGAGTATGTACTAAGTATGTGCTTTAACCTTAGTCTCAGAGTTTATTCCTAGCTGCTTTGGGCATTCAGAAAAACGTTGCATTCCTGAAAGCAAATGATATTCAGTGACCTTAATAAACCATATTAATTTATATGGCCATTTAAGAGGAAATACAATTTGAACGCATGGGATAAAAATCACTTTCAGCTTTGCAAGACACCTGCAGTGAGGTACTAATGAGGTAGTCATGTTAGTCCAATTTACAGGAAGGAAGAAATGAAAAAAAAAACTGTAAAATCACAAACTTTTGACACATGGATAAATACTGGCTAGAACCTGAAGTTACCCTTTTTCACCAAGMTTCCTAGAAACAGCACAGAAGTAAAGGATGAAAACAATAATACAAGCAATAGTTCTTTCATTCATTCAACATTTCTTACCTGTTTTGATGCCTGTGTGTTCTTGTTCCCCCTCTGCTATTAGAAATACCCAGTCCTGACTTTTCTGGAACACTAATACTGTCTTGTGGAGGATTTTTGGGGGTAAAAGCAGAGTTACAAGATCTCGTATGCCAGGTCACAGGAATATGCAGCTCGGGTCTCTGCTCTTGGCTTTGATGTATGCATTTCAGCAGAGCCGGTGCGTGGCTGGCTCTGGCTGAAGAGCAGGGGTGCATTTTGAGGAAAGCCTGCCAGGAGTCCAGTGCGATGTGGAATTTGGGCACGGAAGATGCACTGGCTCCATGCTGGAACCAAGTAGTGAAACAGGACATGCCAGGTGGCGGCGGGAGGGCACGGGCAGGGCGGTTTGGAGCAGCTCCTCTCCCGCTGGCCTTAGAGCAGCCCAAAAAGGCCTTCGCTGGGGTCTGCTGAGCCCTGTGCCGCCAACCTGGCACAGATAACTAACTGCTCGTGTTGATGACCCGTGTGTGGAGCTC